TTTATTAATTTATTTTTTAATGATCGGAAATGATGTTGGTGTTTGATAAAACTACCTTTTGTGTTTAATATTGGTCAGTCCTATGATACTTATTAAAAATTGTTCAAATATTTTATTATACTGAATAGTGTAGCAAAGTCAGTGTATATGCAAACACATTGAACATGAGAAGATGATGATGGGAAAAAATTTGCATTTGTAGAGAATTAATGAGCACTGAGAGCTGAAGAGATGCTTGCTTCAGTCAATATTAGCATTACGGTGTGTTCTTGGAATACAGCATCCAAAGTCTCTGCCTCAAGTGCTTTCCCAGTAGAGTCAATACATAGCTCTCTGTTCCATCATTCTTTCTTTTTCTATTTGGGCTTCTTCTTTTCTTCCTCTCTTTTGCTTCATTTCTACGAGATGCATGGTTTGAAGCAAGTGGCATTTACTAAATATCATCTGGATTTATCACAACTAAAAGAATTCCACTCGTTTAAAATAATATAAGTACATCATTGGAAATAAAATAATGTATTTCTTGCACCAACTTTCATTTCCAATTGTATGAAATCACATTTTTTAATTAAAGGTTAATTAGTGTAGTCAAGGATATCAAGCCATTATTGTCAATGTCCATCCCTTGGAGGTAAATGGCATTAAGAACATTTTTTACAAAAATAGGATATTTTAAATTCATTGCTCATCCTGGAGGTATTAAGAATTCTTCATATTCCTCTTATTCTCAGAAATTCTTATCTTTTTTTGGAAAAAATGGACATTGCTATATTTGTATATTTTTGAATCAACAAATTGTGTTTAAACCTCTTTTTGTAAATTTTAAACTTTTTAAATGCGAGTTTATCATTTATAAACTTTTGAAAAATGCATACAGAATACTCTTTTCTTAAGACTTTATTTTTAATTCATTAAAATTACAACATGCTTCTGTATTTCATACATATTATTTACTTGTTCAGAAATATTGGCTGGCCTTGAAGTTCTTTTGCAATTCCATTAGCAAGATGATAATGCCGACACACAAAAGAATTCCACACCAAATGTGATGACAAGACAAGTCATGAGCAGGTTGTTCTGTCAACTCATTATAATGGAGAATTTGTTTCAAAGTATTCAAGAAAAGCCACCAAACAAAAAACAACGATAAGATATTCACCATCATTTTTGTACTTCAGAGATGAAGGGCTGTATTTCACTTTCGCCTAATTTTATAGGAGGGCAGTTTAAAGGAGTACTTCTTTGTAAATAATTGGGCTTGGTGTTACTTTTACTACTTCTAACATTGTTATTAATGTTTTTTGAATGTAATTCTCAATACTTCTAAGTAGAGCAATTTAATTGGAACTAGTGGTTTGACATACTCTATTTCAGCAAAAAACAACATAAGGTCATTTACCTCTAGAGTACAAAATGAAAATAACAATAATTAGTACAATTAAGTGTTCAAATGAAGATAAGGAATCCAAGAACCCCAAGCACCTGTGCTCAATTTGTTATTTCATATTCTAGAATTTTGAATAGTCAGCAATTGCAACACATTTTCTTACGAAGACAAGTATTTTGAGAAAAATAAATAGGTAATCACATTTTGATGGAATCTGCACAAAAGATACATAATAATGCAGCATCTCTTTTGGTGATAAAACAAAAGGACAATCACACAGGGAGAAAAGTATAGATTTAAGATGAAATTGTGAAGGTGGCAGAGGAAATTTAAAAATACTGCTTCATCTTAACCAAACCAAAAAGTGTGAGAAACCCATTCAATTAATGAAGTTATAAAGGATACACTTGAGTAAAATAAAGTTAGGAAATGCAACCACTTTTGTCAGTGACAGTCATAGCAAGAAGGTAAAACCTCAAAAAACTAAAAGAAAAACACTTTTGATAACATCATAAAATTGATTGAAGTTCGGGGAATAAGTCACTCTGCAAATAATTATTTACAAATTGTCAGAGGCAAATGAAACCCAAATTTTAAAAGAAGAATGTATCCAAAAGAGAACCGGTGGGAAATAAATGTGACCTTGACTCTATTAAAAAAGTTAGTTCAAATCAACTTCTTTGCATATCTGTTTACATTTCGTTAAGTTAATTATTTAGAGAAAGATATCTGTAAAAATGAATATGAACCTTCATAAGCATTAAAGAGAAAATAAAACTTCAAATATTTTTTAACTATACCGCGATTTTAAAACCCATTTTGGTCAAATATAAAAGTCAAAATAGCACCTACCTGAAAAGGGCGTGGAGCTGGATGATGAAATTGTGCTGTCTGGATCATTTCGCCAAAACTGCCAAGGTCTTCATCAGTAGATTCGGGGACAGTGGAAGAGGGCTCTGATTCTGCCCCTGACTTCTCCTCAGGCTCTGGTGAAGCTGCAACTGCAGCAGCCTCGCCAGAAGCTGATTCTTCAGAATCAGGCTTCTTCTCTTCTTCCTGCTTCTCTTCCTTTCGAGGAGACGGTTCGTCACTAGTGATCTAAAACACATATGTACCCAATCTTATAAATTGTTTCAAAATACCTTTTCAGAAAAAAAAATAATGACTAGATTTAAACTAGTTAAAAACATACAAAAGTTTAACTCATGTTCAGTCATTTACTTTGCAACCATTTACCATGTCCACTCAAAATGTAAATTTACAAATTTTGCTCTCAAGTACTTCAAATAAAATAAATACATTTTTAAATAACAATTAAAACATTTTGTTACATTATCGAATGTAATGAATAAATAAATTTGAAATTTTGACACACCTGAGTATAAAAGAGAAAATTGTAATGCTATTCAGTGTTTTTCCAAAATTGTTTCTCTTGACATCAGCCTTTTTATAAGTGTCAAATAATTAAAGTTCAAACAAACTATTTTAAAAATTTGAAACTCTGCACAGAACACATAATTTTTAATAACAACAATAAATGAATAATAAGACAGATGATGAATAAGAACATCATTATTATTATTATTATTATTATTATTATTATTATTATTATTATTATTATTATTATCATCATCATCATCATCATCATTATTATCATTGTAATCCAATTTAACTATCAGAATTAACACCTTTTAGTACCTTCAGCTTTTATAATAATTTTTCTTGAAGATAATATGGAATCTTTAATGAAATCCATTGCAAAATTAATTTCAAATAATCATTGCCAGCTTAAATAAATAATTATGATTACCAGGATATTGAGATTAAAATAATTATTAATACAGGCACTGACCGAACTTTTAAGAGTAATTCTGATTTCCAAGTTTCTTAAATATGGTAAAGAATCAAAACAATAAGTGAAACAGTGAACCTACATCAGAAGGATCCTCGTCCAACCCAACCAGCTGAAGAGCCTCCTCGAGGGAGAACTCTGGCAGGTCAATCAATGCAGCAGATGGAGACTCATCAGGAAGACCAGTTGTTGATGAATTCAAGTCATCTGCGAGAGGGTCCTTGAGGACATATTCACCTGCAAGCATAATTTAAAACATTTTAGCAATAGAATAACTCAAATATTCAATTACATGAGACATAAATATTGTTCATTATAATTAATATTTATAATGAATATATTAATGTTATAATTAAAATTATGAATAAAAGGATCACAAGTATAGTTTAAGAACAGAAGAATTTGAAGATTTGAACTACATTCAACCAATCATAATGACTAGGATTATAATAGTTATTGCTTGAAATTTGAAAGAAAAAAATGTATGTTATATTGATGCCCTATTCCTCTTCAATCATTAGCTGAGTAAAAGAAGAATGGGATTAATTATTTTACAATGCATGACTAATAGTTGTTATGTTGTTGTTTTAACACACACCTTTTCACAGAACAATTTTTAAGACAAATTTTCAGGTGCAATCTAATTTTGCCTTCATTTAATTAAGAGTTAAGTATTTTACTGGATAGTGTCAAGTTAAACTTAACACAGTTTCTGCATGAAAAAAGTGTTATTAATCATGGAAAAAAGTAGTAGTAAAAAAGATGTAGTTTTCTAAGGATATTTCAATTTTAAACTTTTTTTTTTAAGGCAGGTTTGAATATGATCTGCAACTTAAAACCCATATACTAAGCATTTGTAATTTAAGAAACAAAAACAAAACTGAACATTTTTTCTTTCTCTGGAATTAATTGTTTCCCTATACCTCTCTCTCACCTTGGAAGTCAGCACCTGCACTACCTGAGGGCAGATCAGGCTCCTACCTTTGTTCCCAACCCAGTTCTACCTTGTCTCTACCTCCATTAGGGGAAATGCATTTTACCTTCTTTTGTGAAGGACACATCAACTGAAAACCTGACAAAGGGCAGCCACTTCACAGCCTCTACTGTTCACAAGAGGTCCTGACATCTCTAGGCCTACTGCTACAACTCCACCAAGACAAGGGTTCCACTAAAAATCTCTCTGAGCTGCAGATCCCTATCTCTGACAAAATGTCATTCATTTTCAGATCACTTGATAAAACAAAGTATTTTGTGATTATTTTTTTTTTTTTTAAATTTTGACTCTATTATATGAATTTGACTACAACAGTCCTATGAATTCTTGCCTCTAAGAAACTCTCAAAAGAATTTAAAATATCTGCTACTAAATGAAATGTCAATGTATGCAGAATAAATATTTTATACAAATACAATATTTCAATACAAAAAATTCTTTGGGCAATAAATATTTCAGAATATAGCGTTTCAACACTAACATATGCATTTTCACAGAAAATAGCAAAATAGCTCACTTTTACAATACAATAGCAATTCAAACTCACAAAGAAATGTGAAATATGACATTCCAAGAAACATTTCTGTTACAAATGGTCATCTTTACAAATTTTTCAGTGTTCCTTTTAACTACAGACCCAATGATCATCAGTCAAATTTTTCAATGAACCATTTCACTTTAGTTCACCCCTTTTACACAAAAGAAGAAAACTATATTTCTTGACTTTACAGGAACCAATACTTCAATTCAGATGAAAAATGTCCACAACTTTTAGAAATTTCTTTAAGGGTAATGCTCTCTTTCTCACAAACAAATTAAAAGCAAACATACCTTTTGCTTAAATCCTATCATTGTATGTATCCTTTCTGTCCTTTGATCTTCCTATACATTTAAATACATGAAGAATTAAAATTCCATTATTAGCATGACGCACACAACACTTCTCTTTCATAAATATGAGAACAAAATATTGCACTTTTACTTCTGTTCACTAAAAGTTCTTGTATCACATCACATGAAAATTAAAAAGAAGCACGGAGTTCACAAATGGGGTCCACTCTTGCTCCCTGGTGTTGTGTTCCCTATCCAGTCACAAGCTAGCACATAAGACTGCCGAGGCTGTTGCCCAACACTCACACACTGAAACCAATCACAAAGCCTCTCACCGAGGAGGCAGGAAATATGGCTGCCACGCAGCCACGAAGGAACAAACAATAGCTTCAACCCCTGGTGAAGCTCGAAGCAAGAGCAAGGGTTGCTTACAAGGCAATGCAGCCAAATGCTTGATTTCCCATAATCCCTCACAGGCTGTGATACCCTCCAGAGTCTCACTCTGAATAACGTAGACAGCCAGCCAGCCCGCCCCACTGCCTGTCACGTCCTGGCTTTCCAAGGCCTCCCCCCAACACCGCTTCGCAGTGCCCTGTTGCCATATAAATGAAGAACTACAATGTACCTTTCTATAAGAATAACTTCAAGAGAGCTATTCCAATAACACAGAGGACAATAATTTACTCAACCCATATTCTACTGAAAATACTATCCAAAACTAAGAAACATTCTCACAACAGCAACTGTTACAACTGGCAACTCTGGCTGCTGCCGGTGGCCACCAGATTCCTGCGGCTCCTCCTCCTACCACCAGTGGGGCCCGACTGACGGAGCTGCGGATAACCAATACCTGCGCGTTCTGACAGCCACAATAAATGGTGGCCAATTTTAATAATATGACAGTGTCTTGACCACCTTTACTGCTTTTATGAATAATGTTGAAGGCCTTCAGCACCCAGAAACCATTATCTTCTAGACAGGAATCCCTCCCCATTGGTTATTGTTTCAAGTGGGGGTGGTAGCAGGTAAAAAAGGGACCAATCATCAGAGGGAACAAAGAAACTGTGAGGTGCCCTTCTTCACAGTAAAAATATATTTTGAATTTACAAATTTTTAGTGTTCTTTTGCATTTATGATACACAGCTGAGTTAATCCTAATTAATGCGGTCTCAGTTCTGCACAGAATGATATTTCACACATAAAGGAGATAAGCGTGACATTTCTTGCCCGCTTTTCAGGTTCATTTTTCATTTCTTCTCTCTTACCTGTAGTCCTAGAGCCCCTAAATTCCAGTGCCCTTTACATTGGCACATTCAGACTTTGGAACATGAAACCCTGGTAGCTACTGAATACAGAAAATGATAAATGTAAATGTAGAATATTTTTCTTCTATGTTCCTTTTACTAAATATATTCAGAATTTTTTTCTTTCTTTTTTTTTTTCTTTCAATTTTAGCAATTTTCTTTAAATGACTGAATTAAAAATACAATTTCTTATATTAAGGAAAGAGTTAAGTGAACCAAGAACTTGAACCAGAAATTCAAATGAAAAAATAGTTATTTTTGTAACATTAACATAATAAATGAATTTTCAATTTTTCTATGAATTAGAAGTTACAAAGAAACTTGATGTTTTATTTCTTAAATCTCCTAATTCTTTTGAATTGTGATCCAATAACCTTTACTTTCAATAGAGGGATGCCTTTACTTTCAATAAACTGTCTTCTCCTACCCTCATGGAAAGTAAGAGATAGAACTGCATTTTATTATATTAATTTGCTGATTTATAAATAAAAAATCCTGCCACATGAGAACTTCAAATATAACCTCACAAGTAGATCCTTTGTTCCTATGAAGTATATATATTAGTCCCTACCCTCTAGACTTATTATTCTCCTAAAATAATTCCACTACTTTTAACACTATCATATCCACTTCTACAGATGCTGCTGTTGTTGCAGGTTATTGTGCTAGGCAGAAAATGTGGTGTCATGCTCAACCAAAACTCGACCAGACCAGACGATACAGGCACAGTCATGACAACTTGCAGGCGCCTCTCTCTCCAAAATCTGCTTCCTTCCTTCACCTTGCCACAATGAACTGTAAGTTTCATGAATTAACGGTAGTTGTTGGTCATATATCCACAGCTAGATCCCTAATCCAGCTAATTCCTTATATGATTTTACATTAGAACTACATTTTTTTTACACCAAAATTGGAATAGGACAATGCATAATAGTACACAAAATAAATGAGTTTTTAAAAATTAAAGATTT